GGAGGAGGAGAGAGACANAGAGAGAGAGAGAGAGAGAGAGAGAGGGTCGGCGCACTCTCCACCGCAATCAGTAAACCTGTAAAACATTAGATTAGGTGGCCTAACCCAGACCTTCCTCTCCGGCTTCGTTGGCCGAGCGTACTTCCAATTTCTGGCCACCAGGTTTTGCCTGTGTGTACGTTGCACTTGTCCTTACGTTCTCCAACGTGTCCTCCTTTTATTTCGCCCGTCCTTCCCTCCACTCGTCCGTCGTGTAATCGCGTTCGCGATCTCGATATCGTCGCGTCGCCTACCCTTTCGTAGCAATCGAGGGTTGAGAAATTTTTACGAGAGCGGAGAAGACGATATATATATATCTTGGCGGAAATCGTGACGAGGAAATAACTTGTGAATTTTTGCAAACGCATACATATTTATAGGGTCGAAAAAATCGCGTCGAAGAATTTCGGGGAATTGTAAAGAGCTTGCTCGAATCGATCGTCAATTTATTTCGATCTAGCTATCGATAGTCGATTATTATTCCGTTTTATTACGTTTGGTAATTCACTGTTTGCCAATACAGTTTTTTGTTTGGCAATACCGTGAAAGTCCGGCCTCGATGTTTGTTGCTGACGCTTCGTCCGTTCTCGCATGCATGCTGTTTGCGTTTAATATTTCCCAACCAACTTTCATATTTCCCCAGAAAATAACGTTTTATTATGAAACGGTGGAACGGATAATGGACGAATTCAAGACGGAGGATTCATCCAGATCAAATTTATAGGTCAAGTTTACCGACCCGTCCTGCTCGATCGCGATATATAACCACGTTTTAATTAATTCGTTTAAGAAGAATTCGTATCCCTATTCGGAAAATTTAACGACGAGCATAACGCGATGAAAAAGTCGCTTTAAAAGTCGCTATGCTTCTTACCGCGAGAATTCTTTCATAAATTTTCTTTGTTATTCGCCACCTGGTATTTACCTCTTGCATTCCATTCACGCGTAACGTCGAGTAATTTGTTTTTCCTTCTTTCCAAGAAGTCAGACATTAGCCTTCAGGCGCGCTATTTCAGATATTTTCGATATTATAGCTCGATGTGACAGCGAATGATCAACGAACTGCACTCGAAACGTCGAATATCGCGCGTTCCAATATTCAAGCAAATGTAAAAAAAATAAAAATTTATTTGTCGAAACGGACCATCGCTTCATTTCGTTAATTACGCGTGGCTCGTAAACACTGCAAAAATTTTCACGAATCTCGCTCATTGTTGTTTCTATTTAATAGATAGTCGCATCGACTCGTAAATTATTGATAGTCAAGTAGTCGCGATAAATGCGAATCTAACGATAAGATCGATCGACCGAGAGGATCGTCGAATAATTTCGAAACGAATTTTACTCGAGAAACGGGAGACGCCGCGTTTTGCGAAAAATAGCGGAGAATATTTGGTGTAGCTGCGAAAGCATCCGTAGCGCGTTTCATTCGAGAGGCATTCGCGGAACAGGAACGGGCTTATTATCCATCGGTAACAGATGATACAGGGAACACGCGAAAGGATGTATTCGGTGTATGCACAAGCGACGGAATATTTCGTCCGCAAAGATAACCCGTGGCGCGCATCCGGTACGCCGTGTTTGGCGCACGGTGAGCGATTCGCAATCCCCCCGTATAAATCGAAATCGTAGCGCGTATTTGAAAACTTCCGATTCCAATTTCGATCTACAAACAGGCCGCCCATTCTTTTCGAATCGATTTTCCATCGCGACACCGCCCCGCGACACATTCTACTCCACCCGCTTCTCGATCCATCCGATCGATCAATCTCCGCTCATCCTCCTATGATCCTCTCGCGAGAATCATTATCGCCCAAATCGATCCGAATTCGCAAAGAAAAATAATCTATAAACCCAAGATCGGAGCGAAAGATGTAAATTCGAAGCGATTAATCGATCGATTATATTAATAATCGTAATCGAGGTGAGAAGAAAATGAGCAAATCCCCATCTTTCAATAGATTAGTATTAATTTTTTCAAGAAAGCGTATTCACGCTCTCGATAAAAATTATGAAATCCGTGGACGAACTCGCAAAAAGATAATCCATAAACGGAAGATCGAGGCGAGAAATATCGAGCAATTGGCTCGTCGATTATATCAATAATCGTAATCGAGGTGAAAAATAGATATGTTTCTATCTCTTAACAATTAATATTCATTTTTTCAAGAAAGCGTATTCACGCTCTCGATAAAAATTATGAAATCCGTGGACGAACTCGCAAAAAGATAATCCATAAACGGAAGATCGGAGCGAGAAATATCGAGCAATTGGCTCGTCGATTATATCAATAATCGTAATCGAGGTGAGGAGAAAATGAGTAGGTGTGTTTCTATCTCTCAATTAAAATTAATATAAATTTTGTCAAGAAAGCGTATTCACGTTCTCGATAAAAAGTATGAAATCCGTCAATTCGACGGGTTTGGTTTGTTCTAGCGTTAATTGAATCGTGCGTCCCGCCTTCGCCCGATTCGGATCCGTTTAAATTATAAAGAGAAACGCGATAACGAATGTAAACGTCGAACATAGGGAAAGAGGGGAAATTGATCGAGAACGACGTTAACATCGTTTATCGCGCGTTTCAATTATCGCGTAACTGACTCGCGAGAATCGTTCTTTATATATATACAGTATATAGGAGGGAGGGATTCGAATCTTTTCCGAATAAAATTCTTTGAATTCTATCGCGACAACGTTCGAGAGATTGGAAGAAGAAGAAGAAGAAGAAGGAGGAGGAGAAAAAGAAGAACTACATCGCGAGAATCTCGCGCGATAAAGTTACGATGGATTCGACTTAATAATTCAACTCGACTCGATCCATCCCTCTTGGAAAAACAAAAGGGGATAACGCGCAAAAGGATCGGTTCGGTTCAATCTTGGGGACCCGCGCGAATCAAAGCGTGCAGCGTTCCGTTCGACGCATCAATATTTCCAAACAAATCCGTCTCGAATTCGGTACAGTTTCTCTCTCTTGCTTTCCCTGCGCGACGATCGCGCGGATTCACGGGCAGCGTTCGAAACACTTTTAGGATTGTCGAGAATCTCGAGCAACAACCACTCAAACGATGTTTTCGTCCGAAATCGTCATGCAGCGTGATGTAATCCGTAAGAGAGGTGGTCGAAAGGGGGAGAGAAACTGGAACTCGAAGAGAAGGAAAAGAAGGGAAAGTAGGAGGAAGAAAAAAAAGAAGAGAAGAAAGGAAGAAAGAAAGAAACGCGAAAGGGAAGGAAGGAAGAGAAGGAGGAAAGGAGGAAGGAGGGGGGAGGGGATAAAACGGAGGAAGGCAGTGGGGGTGAGTACCTGGTGCGCTCGCGCACATCGTGGAGGGTGATAGCAGCGTGCGCGCAAAGTCCATCGGTGGAGAACGGAACGGCGGGCGCGAGTATTGTGTCTCGCGTATACGTTCTTGCGTTCGTAGTCGGTGCTTGGCTCTAGGTTGGTGCTGGTGCCAACGACACCGAGCTGCTGGTCTCCGGTGGTGGTGAAGCTGGCTGGTGGTAGTGGTGGTGGTGGTGGTGGTGGTGGTGGTGGTGGTGGTGGTCGAAATAGTGGGGGAAGAATGTTGGAGGGTTGCTGAAGTTTCCCTAACGCTCGATGGCGTACCAGTGCAGATCGTGATTCTGTGGGACGTGCAGCGTCGCGGTGCTCAGCTGTCCTTAGCCTTTGCGTCGTCCGATCGGAACGGGCACACGCACCACGACGCCGAGAGTGGCACGTAGACGGGACGTGGCGCACGTCTTGCTCGGTTCACGCGATGTTATCGTGTGGATAAAAAGGAAAGAAGAAAAAAAAAAAAAAATTGGGTGATCGTATCTATGTAGAAGGGTAGGGTAGTAGATCGCGAGTAGAAGGGCGCGTGATCGACGTGTCGGCGTGTCGCGTGAAATTACGGCAGAGAGGAAGGAAGGAAGGAAGGAAGGAAGGGAGGAAGGAAGGAAGAGGCGAGTAAAAAAGAAAAAATATTGGCCGGAGGACAGGATCTCCCGCGGCTGGAGACACCTCCTTGGCCGCGTGTGTTTCAACGCGATTTTCAACGTCTGTTCCGTTCCTTTCTCCTCCTCCCCTCCTCCCCAACGTGTTCGCGCTTGAAACTGGACGGGGACTGGAAGAGGTACTACTACGACGTATATCGTACAATATACCCGGGGAAAGAATTTTTCCAGAGGAGACGCCGCGCGTTTCGCTTCGTGTGACAAAATTGTTCACGCGCTCCGATGGAAAATTCTACTTCCCTTTTGAATATGTTTTCTATGTCCATGAGAGAGAGAGAGAGTGAGAGAGAGAGGAGAGAGGAGAGGAGGGGGAAAGAGGACGAATGTGGGAGATGGGAGCAAGAGCTGGAAGAAAATTGCACGATGACAACTGGGACGAATCCTTTTTTCATTTCTCTCCTTTTTTTCTTCGTTTTTTTTTGTCTTTTTTTCCCCTTCTTTCTTTTTTTTCCTCCTCTTTTCTTTCTTTCTTTCTTTCTTTCTTTTCTTTTTTTTTTTTGATACGACCCATCGGAAAGTACCGCTCATTTTTCGCAGCGTAATTTTCTACCCGCGCTAAAAGTGTGAACGCCCAGTCCCGCATTGTTCGACTTTTCACCCCTGCTAAATTAATGATTCGAATTCGTTTCCCTGCGCGACTCGTCCCGGCTTAATCGGGCGAAACTGTTGCGAGATGGAACGCGATTCACAGCCTCGGCGTGCCATTCTCCATCGACCAGCGCCAATCGGATTTGGTGATTTTCACTTAACGTCGCGACAAACGTTTCTCCCGTTTCGCCCTCAAATCGAATTCGCGCCGATCTAATCGATCGATAGAATTTTCGCCATCTATCTCGCGGATCTCGCGGAAGAAGAAGAAGAAAAAAAATGCGTTTCGTACTTTCTTTTCTTTTTTCTCCTCTCCCTTAAAGGAACGAAGATGAAATTATCAATCGCGTTGTCGACAGTGATTCGTTGATCCGATAGCGATACTTTCCACATCGAAGTGTCGCGGCAGAGATAATTCGTGAAAAAAAAAAAAAGAAAAAAGAGATCGAAAATTTACGCTTCTCCCGTGTCATTCGAAATCGAAAATTGGACATCGGCGATCGGGATGATGGTCGTCCGTCCCCGTTGCTCGTCCTCTCGGGAAAAATGTAAACGACGCGCGACACAAAAGCCCGCGAACCTTGTAAAAAATGTATCTTCGTTGGAAACGAATGGAACGTCCTCTCGTGGGTCGTGGTCGAAAGGAACGAAATAGCGACCACCGTTGCACCGCCGTGAACGAATGCTTCCGATTAGAACGCAATTTCCGCGTGAATGAAAGATTTTTAAAACGTTTCACCTTCCGAGAGGGAAAAGAGAAAGGGAGAAAAAAAGAAAAAGATTCTTGCCCTGTCGTATCGGTTTCGATCTTTCATCCCTCCCTCGCCTCTTTATCAATTTTCATCGTGACTCGGCTCGAACCATTATCTCGATCGTTCCGCTCGCTGCCTCCTTTCGACGAGTCGTCGAACGAAACGACGTTTCCGTGACAGGGCTCGATAAGGTGGAAAAGGATGATCGAACCGTCCACCGCGCGATGCGTGTGCTGGTTGTTGGTTCGTGACCTTGGCCACTCACGAGCCAGCCACGATCGCGAGCTCGGATAATGGGGCCGGGGTAATAAGATAAAATTCTCGATCGGTCGGTTGACCAGCGGTCCGAACTGGATCTGGATTTTATATCGGATCTAGATTCTTGTGGCGTTGAGCAGAGATCTCCGTGGATCGTGTCGTCGTCAGGTGAGCGCGGAGAGATCGTAAAGAGGCCGACCAGAGTGGACTCATTGTCAGTGGTATTTCCAATTGGCCCGTTGCGATCTCTCGCGAGGAAACCGGTTCGACGACCGGCTCTCTGCCTTCCACGATCCCTCCCCCCCTTCCTCTCTCTCTCTCTCTCTCTCTCGTTACCCGCTTGCTGCTCCACGATTCCAGCCGCGAGTTACCTGTTGTCCCTTCCTCGTCTGCATTCTCCTCTCCTTCTTCCTCCTGCTTAGCGAACGTTCACGTTCCACCTTCTTCGCGCTGGCTACTAGTGTCTCTCTACGTTGCGTTTCAGTGTTTACGCGGGGAACCGTACTGCGACTGCGAGGATCGAAGGACGAGTAGGAAGCAGGCAGGCATTTCCGCCCGCTGCGGTGCTTAACTCTGGACAGAGGTTGGTCAGAGGTCGTGGCCAACCTCGAGACGCGCATCCGGTTTGGGAAGAGAGTCGAAGAAATAAGTGACGCGGTGGTGAAACGATTCGTTATTGCGTACGGAACGCGCATTTTTCGAAGACATTTCGATCGCGTTCCTCAAACTTTGAGGCGTCGAACGAGAAGTCGAGCCGTGAAAAAACATTTGGAAAACTTCTTTCTTTCTTTCTTTGTACCCCGGTCGATGTACAAACTTCCCTTCCCGGAGCACGAGTGGACGTAACCCGGGGAAGATCCTTTTTCTGCCTCGTGGAAGAGGAATGGCGTGAAACCTCGGCGAACAAGCAAGTCGAAACCAACCTTTGTTTCTTCCTCGATCTTCTCGGCCCATTTGCTCGGACCACGCTTCGATTCGTTCACGAAAGAAAGGATACGATAGACAACGAGGATGGATGTACAGTTCGACGTTGGACTCGAAGCCACTTTGCCGAGGAACGCGTGTGCCAAGAAAATCGAGATTTAAACGCCTCTAGCCGACCTCTTCTTTCTTTCTTTCTTTCTTTCTTCCGTCTCCAAACATTTTTATATCGACGATCTTCTCCTCGACTCGTGTATACGACTCGTTCGCGATTCGATTTCGAGTATTCAGTGTTCTCGATCGATAACACCGAGATAAAAGTGCGCGACTCAGTGTACGATCGCGATCGATCGCGAGCCAAAAGTGTCCTCGTCGGAGTCCTCGCCGTGTTTTTTCGTTCGACCATCCCAAGATTTCAACGATCGAGGAGGAGGAGGAGGAAGAAGAGGAAGAAGAAACTCTCTCTCTCTCTCTCTCTCTCTCCCGCCCCCTCGAAGAGAGATTCCGTTTCCTTGGAATCGGGCAAGAAAGCGCTTAAAAGCTTGATTAATCGCGCAATTGGAGGCAGGCTGGTGATCGGTGCACGGCAACCATGCATCGGTCGGGTTGTGCCGCTCGTTCCAGAAACGGCGGAGCGAACCTCGTGTTTTCCTTTAAAACAGCCGGTCCACGCCACCCTGCCCTACGTACGATAACGTATCGAGGACGTTGGCACTGTTAGAGAAGAAGAAGAAGAAGAAGAAGAAGAAGAAGAAGAGGAGAAGGAAGAGGCTGGAGTGAAAGGTGGAGAAGGCAGAGGTGGAGGTGGAGAAGGAAGAGGAGGAGGAGGAGGAGGAGGAGGGGGAGGAAGAGGAGGTGGAAACAATCATTCGAGGCGAAAATCGCGAAGGAATCGTGGTGAACGTAGGAGAAAAACACAGGGTAGTGTAGTTGGGGATGGGAGGGAGGGTGGGCGGGAGAAAGGGAGTCGAAGAAACGGAGTGTAGTTACACCGTTTAGTATTTGACCGGTCGCGCGATTCGGACGACGTGCAAAGGCGGTGGTGCGCGCGCGCGCTCCCTGCAACGATACACGCGTAATACGTGAGATGCGAAGTGTGTAGTCAAGCGCGTGGTCGCGAGCAGAGGAGAAAACTTGATCTCTTCCCGTCGTATTCAAACGCGTGGAGCGGAGTCGCGTGCTCCGGGTGTTTCGTGTTCGATAGTCATCGTCCCGTTGTCGTACGCTTAACAAGTGTAACGAAACTTGGTGTATAACCGCGCGTGTATCGCGGCTCGTAACGCCGGCTAAACTGTTGGTTGGCGCGTCATGACCCATCCCGAGCTCTCGAGCTCGCGAGCGAATGATAGCCGCGACCACGAGCCGACATCGCGATTTCGATGATATCCTCCTCGATCGTTTCGCTTGTTCCTCGCGAGAAGAAGGAAGCAGAGACGAAGGAGGAGGAGGAGGTGGTCGAGTTTGGTGACGCGTCGGGCGAGTATCGAGATCGCGACATCGAGGCCGATCGTGGATCGGATTAGAAGGGCGAACGACGGCCCATCCGCAAGAGGCCGGGCGAAACTCGCCAACACGATGGATTGGTGGTTGCGGGGACGGATTATCTACACCTACTCGTTATGGGTCGTGTTCAAGGCAGCAGCGGTGGCGGTATTTTCGGTGAGTACACTCGTTCCACGCTCTTTGACCTTTCTTTACGCCTTTGGCGCCTCTTTTGTCCGCGGGTGCAGCGAAAGGGATTTGCCACGTGCTAATCCGCTGCCACGATGCACGCCCTTTGACACGCGATTACGTATATGTTCGAAATACCTTGTCCTCGGTTCATCGCACTTGTCAACTCGTTGTCGCGTCGTGTAACACGCCCACTCTTTTCTATCCGTGCTTCCATTGCGGTGGAAGGATTGCGGTGTTCGCGTTACACACAGAAACCGGAGTCGCCTTTGTCGCATTTTCTACGCGGAATCGTTCGCTCGCCAAGCTTTTTAATTACCTTTTGCAAATTACGCGGTCCCTTTATGCAAGCGAGAAACTAATTTCAATACCTCCGCCGATGAATCTAGCCGCCCGAGCCCTTCGGGTTTCGATATTCTTAAAAAATTCCTCGAACCGAGGAAACTTGCGTTCTCGGGATAATTAACCGTTTCGCTTTCACAACTTCTTTCCTTCGATCGAGTTTCACGCGGTGAAACAAACAAATCAACGAGTGAAATTGCTCCATCGACTAATTATTGTACCGAAAATTCTATTACATCGGAATAACAATGATTTAGCTAGGTAAATTTAAGCCCGAAAGAAGGTTTTCCCGATAATTGGAAACACGTTCAAAACTGAGACCGAAACGCGTCGTTCCCGAGGAGTATTTTTTTTTCCTTCTTTTTTTTTTTTTTTTTTTGTAGCGCGGTGACTCGCGAGAGAGCCTATTTGAAAAGGCGGACGGAAAAAATGCGCGCGGTGCACAGTATAAACACAGCAGGGAGGAGAGACGACGTTGTTGCATGAAACGCGACTCGAAATTACTTTAACCTTTTCATTGCCGTGTACAAGGCACAAAAGCCCGCGCCCGCTAGTCAATGACTTCGGGAACGCGTACACGGCCACGGCTAAATTGAACACGTAGCATTTTTTATGGATTACTTCCGGCACATTCTTCGCGCCACAAAAGAGTGGCATCGTATTGCGCGTGTAATTCACTGTTAGCGGTGGCGCCGCCTGCGAAATAAGAGAGCGAACGTTGAACGTAAATAAAAGCCACCTTTTGTCCAAATGTGAAAACGTGCTCGAGAAAACGCCGCTTGTCCGCGCCACCATTCACGCTTTATTTCCAACGCGCCATTTCTTTTTTTTCTATCGCGGTTTTCGAGAGACAACGCGAAAGGAATCGCGTTTGAAATAAATTGCTCGATTCTCGCGTTCGTCTTACGATCGTATCCTGCCACGTGTAATTTTCGATTCGTAGTGCCTTTGGTATTAACTGTGCTTGTGATGAACGATCCGCTACACGAACGTGCATAGACAGCCCGAACAAAGGATAATCTAACCTCATCAACGGCATCATTCCTCGTGCATCTGATAAAGGTAACCGTAATGTTCGTAAAACGTTTGAACGTCCGTGAAACGATAAAGTTTGAAACAAAAGTTTCGAGCGAATTTCGTTTTACGTATTAACTTTAAATACTCCGGGGATAGGGAAAACGTACGTTCACGTATCGTGTAACAATTTCGTGAAAATATTTCTCGCCAAAGGACATTCCTCTTCGAAGGACGAATTAATGAACGGTAATGAAGTTTGCGTAGCTTGTCCGCGGCGAAACTATCAAAATTGTTATCGAAGCTGGCTTCGTCGAATCTCGACCATGATAATCTATTATCTCTAGCCCCGACGTGCAAACTCGTCGCCATAAGAGTCTTTGGAGTTGCCAACTATCGCTTAACTTTTCACGACAGCATCGTGTTCACCTGATCGAGCATATTTGTCAATCCATAGGTGTACATAGCACGGATAGGAGATCATACCTCCGAGTTAATCGCTAGCTTACCGCTCGAAATTAATTAGTAACCGCGGTGAACCGCGTTTCGTATGCTTCTAAATGCCTGTTGCCCGTGTTTCGGGGACGATACACCGCAATAACGACCGTCTCTTCGTCGATCGTTTACCACATCGTGCGCGCGTTTGAATGGAAAGAAAAATTTCTACGTAACGAGTTAATAACCGTTCTAAATATCCCAGATATTTATCATTCCAACGAGCACGTTATCAATTTTTCAATCCACGGTCATTTTTTGCTTCCGTGTCGACGATATTTGGACAGATCGGTGATTATATTAATTTTCGAATCATACGTATAATTTAAAATGGTTCAGAGAGAAGAAGGTTTCTTTTCTCTCTCTCTCTCTC